CTTATGAACCACTCTTGGGCAAAACTCTAGAATAATGAATCTCTTCCTCAGCTGCCTGTGTGGCCTGACTCCCTCATTTCAATCTGATCTTTGCTCAAATATCTCCATAGTAGCCCAGCTTTCCCTGGTCACTATATATTTTTCTTATCATCTGTGTGTTATTTTTTATGCTACTTATTACCTTTGGATATATTTATATTACAGAGGGCCTTTTTTAGGATCAATGTGTTGTCATTTTCCTGGAACACTGAAATATAGCAAGTGGCCAGAAAATAATGTTTAAATGAAAAAAAATGAAACACATGACTTAACTCCATAAAACAAACTAATGAATCTCCATGCAACAATTAAGTCTATATCTTGAGCATATTTTTAGGAGCTCACCTTCCTTGTTAAAGAATAAAAGGTAGTATGTTACAAAGCAAGAGCTTTAGATTTTCTGTAATGAAGAAAAAAGGAAAGTTATCTAATAATGTCACTAATGGTTTTGTAACAAAACCTACCTAAAAACTGTGTCAACGTAACAATTCCAATTGAGGGTTCACACAAATTCCAGTTCAGGAATTTATTTAAGACTTATGCATCTAATAGAAAAGCTCTATGCCATCCATTCAATATTCATGTGGCTAACATTTCTTAAGCATCCACTCTTACTATTTATTTGTTTGCATACCGAAACTATTATGTTGTACTTCTAAAACATTTTTACTGTACTTCAGTAACTCCATTAGTATAGTCAAATTTGTACTGAACAAATCTACCTGTAAGTTAGGGCACTCCTATCTCTCTAGGACCTCGTTGGATCGAAACAATGTACAAATTTGGACGAGAAACATACCAAGTGTCAGAACTCATCTCTGGGAATTTCAGAGGAAGACATCCACATAAAAATTAAAATGAAAACTAAAGATGTCAAGGGCCTTCAAGATGAATGGGAGTGACAGGGGAAAGTGTGAGCTTAGATATCCAAGGAAAGGAACCCCGCGGGCAAAGGCACAGAAATGAAGCAGTTTGGGCCCAAGTTCTGGAGCAGGAGGCAACTGTGTGCAGAAGAAGAGAGTGAAAAGTGAGGATGGATGGAGGCAGTTGGGTGAGGGGCAAAGGCATGGAATCAGCTGGAATGTACAATGGAGGGCAGAGGGCTTATACACAGGAATGTTGGGATCACTTTTTTTTAAGAAAGATACCTGAAAGCAGTGCAGAGATGAATGGGGAAGGTAAGGAAAGGAAAGACTTGGGGAGGAGGGTGGGAGAGGACAGGGTATTATTTTTCTTCGTGTGTATAACATTGGAAGACGTTCATTATCTGAACATGGGTAGGTAAGATTTTGCAAGAATTAGCTTCCCATAGTGCTTAAGGGAATTATTTCTGAAGGACCTAAAATATGATCTTTAAAAAGAAAGAAAGAAAACAAAGGAAAGAAAGAAAATAAGTTCACATTCCTCATTATTAATGTTATTATTCATGTAATACACGTTAATTAACAAAGTAAATACATGACACAAGTTTTGAAAAATGGTAAAAATGAGTCACAGTCAATTCTCTAGAGAGGAACAAGATTTGTATAAAGTTTTCAAATTAGTTTGAATTCTACTACTTTGAATTATACAATGCTTATGATTGATGATGGATCAAGTCATTCAGACCACTGGGAACATGCTCGTTTTAAGCAGAATTCTGTGTAATAATTTTGGCCTCACTCTGCAGAATGAAACATTGCCAAAGGAAAGATTTATTGTTTTATTATAATAATTATAAATTATTTATAACTATTTCAAAAATGTGCTAAGCATCATAAAAACATAGTTGGGAATGGTTTCATATTTTTCAATGAATGCTTATTTAGTAATTCTCTTCTGTCTTTGAGGCAAAAATGAAAAGTACAAGTAAGTAAAAATAAAGAATCCCTTTGATCTTCAATTACCTGTAAGTGGAAACTCAAGTACTGAGGTATGACAAAGCTTTTAGCCATTAGTTCAGCAACTCTTTAGATAAAGTACAAGCTATAAACCAGAGAGCTCTGCCAGTGGAGAAAGCACAAATATGATGTTTGAGAGCAGAAGTCATAGTATTGTAGTTTAAAGAATAGTTTTCTCCCTCTTTTCTAAAACAGAAATTTCAGCCACTGCTGAAAGCTCTTTTCTGTCATCTTAGCTATTTAGGAGGCTGAGATCTGAGGATCATGGTTCAAAGCCAATCGAGGTAGAAAATTCCATGAGGCTCTTCATCTTCAATGAACCAGCAAAAAGCCAGAAGTGAAGCTGTGGCACAAGTGGTTGATCACCAGTCTTAAGTGAAAAATCCCCAGTACTGGCACAATAAATAAGCAAACAATTAAAATAAAATAGAAATCTCACCCATTTTAATGGTCTGGCTCCATTCCACTATTTCCATGACATTACCAATGCACTGTCATGGTCCTTGAAGGTTTCTCCTTTCTCTGACATTTTAGAACTCTTAGAGATAGTGCAATTAAGTGCAATTAATACAAATGTTGGTTATATGTCATTGGAATGGATCTTTATTAAACATATATGCGTATTTTAATAAGATTAAAAATATCTAGTAATATGGAGCAATTCATTTTGAATTCCCAATAAAGCATTTGGATATGACTAAAAACATATTTCCTAGAAGCCTAGTTTGTGATCACATCAAAATAATAATGTCAATTAAGTCTTCTTTTAGCATTGTCTTAAGGTTAGAAAGGTCATAATATTAGTGCAAATAGAAAGTAACTGGGGAAATTTTCTAATGGAATCTCATAGCACATTCTTCAGTCCCTGTTATTTTTAAAAGCAAATTGCTTTCTATTTCCTAAAGGTGTTGTACAATTTAAATATCCTAAATGACCGAAACAACAATCCAATCAGTTTTCTATTCCAAACAACAGTTCAATTATAGATGCTTACACATAAAGTTTGCAAAAGGAGAATAAAACTGATTGCTTTTTGTTGCCTCTACTACATTTCCAACCGATTTAATGCTGTAACAAATTAGAACATTGTTAGATTATCAAAATGGGAAATCATTTTATGAATCCAATCTGTACTATGGCAATTCAAAAGAAATTTCTTATTTGTAGGTTTCCTTAGAAGACTTTATAAGTCTATGTATATGATTTATAAAACAAGCTTTAAACAGGCATCTTGCTAAAGGAGAACAAATTATCCAAATAAAGTCCAGTGCTTTAAGAAAACCAAGCTATAAGAAAGTTTCATTGGAAATATGAAGATGATATTGTAGAAGATAATAGAAGTCATTACCTTTTAGTATAACCTCTAAAGAGTGAGTCATTCTATTCATGGAATGTAAACACTTTGGTCACTAACAAAAGCTTCCAATTCTCTCTCTGCTCTTTTCTAGCTCTCAGATTTTTCCTCCTCTTCTCTTTCCCAGCTCCCTTCTCTTTTCTCTCTGCTCTTTTCTAGCTCTCTCTCTGCTCTTGTCTAGCTCTTCTCAAGCTCTTTTCTCTCTCTTTCCTCTCTCTCTTTCCCAGCTCTCTCTCTTTCCTAGGCCTTTCCCAGCCACGTGGAGTGCCAACCTTGCCTGGTCCCAGCAGGTCTACTGATAAACCTACCCCTTACCTGAATAAAAAAAAAAGCTTCCAATTGATGTAGCTGTGGTCTTGTCTTATCAGTCTGTAGAACTGTCTGAGTGAAATTTTCAGAAGTAGGAAACCAGTCAGGCATTTTTGTCATGTATCAGGGGATGGTCAAATATACAGTTTGAGAAGAAAAGAGAAAATGGACTTGTTAATCAAATTGTACCAATTCAGATTTTTTCATGATTTTCTACAGATATTTTGGGTCCATTTACTCCTATTAGAAAAAGGATTAATATGTAAGAAGTGAAAAGGGATCCCAAAAGTGTCTGGGAAGAACATGTTCCTGGGTGTTTTGACCATGTGTTTTTTTGGCAACTCCAAATCCCTTCTTCACCAGCTTCTGGCCACATCTGGCCTAGGCCAATAGAACAAAACATTTATAAAAAACAGTCTATATAATGTACTTGGAATATCCAGTTATAAAGTTAGATACAAATGAAGGTAACATATCAAAATACACATGGAAGAAAGTGTTTGCTTTAGCCTTACGTAGAACATGTGTTTGGCCACCATTAACCATAGAAGCTATCACAGGCAAGACACAAACTTTGAGATTCCAAATAATATCCAAGGAGCTCCTTCATAAGCACAGAGGTTCTTCCTTGATGACATCTTGCACTACGTTCAACCGGTCACTAATCCTCTGTGCTAGCCATGTGTACAAAGCAATTAACTATACTTCTTGAACACAGAAGCCATCTCCTTCTTTTTTTTTGCACTAAATGTAGCCCACAATTATGCCTAATTCTGATTCATTAGACAGTGAGTTCTCTCTGTACAAATTTGCTAAGAAATCACCAACACTAAGGTAACATTCCAATTGTATCCCTGAGCCTCATTCTGATCACAGAAAGCTATTTAAATAAATCAGAGTAGTATACAGCCCATCCAGTTTAGAACATCTCACCATCCAACTGATGACAATGCCATTTTACCCAGCTCAAGGATATGGTCATTTATTCCAAGCATGGAATAATATAGAAGAGAATGGGTGAGAGTGGGGAAGTCATCTAAAGCTCTGTTAGTGCTAATGAGAATTAAGTTAATGCCATGGGGAAAGAATATGGTCTAATTATCATGGGCTCTTTCTGTAAAAGAAATTTCGACACCTTGCTTCCCTAAGTCAATTGTGTTTATCAAGTCAATGGGCAATAAAAATATGAATATAAGAATATAAATAAGAATATAAATGAAATAAATTTTCTTATGCTTTCTGACTGCTTGATCTTTTTTTCTGGAAGATTTTCCTTGGATAAGAAACATTACGTTTTTTCACTGGAGGTATGTTAAAACCACTATTATTGATGGTAACTGTGGTTAACAAAGGCAAGCAGTAATGTTGATACACATTCACAAAGAGACATATGATTGTGATTTTGAGGGCTGACTGACCTTCAGGTTGATATTGTGCTATGATCGTCACTGTCTGTCCAGCTCCTTTTAGTGCAGCAGCTGCCTGCTCATGAGATGCTCCACGAAGATCAATGCCATTTACCTGAAAGAGAAGACATTCGAGAACTTTAAGCACAGTATCTACATTTTGGTTAAGACATTCTTTAAACTCTCTAAAATTGTGTTATATGTCTCAAAACCCTACATATGTATTTCTTAGCAAGTTTATGGTCTTGCAAAGGGATGTAATGTTATCTCGTGGTGCTTCTGGCCTGGTCTCACTGGATTGGAAACAGTTTTGGCTATGTTCACTAGGACGTAGTATGTACAGTTACCAGGACATCGTGAGTTTCTTAGATTTCTGGGGGTAGAGGTGAGTCTTCAAAATGAGAGGGGAAACAGAATAATGAAAAGAAATGCATGCAACGTACTTAGAGAAGTATGTGCCGACAGATTAATACACACAGATGAAGTTCTGGAGAGAGTGATGGAATGGGGCTGGCGGGCTGCCAAATCTCTCTTTGGGCGACTGCCTAGTCCTGTCATACTGAGCTTGGTGAGACAGCCCTGAGCTCTGTTCCAAAATAAACTTGACTGCCCCATTTCTCATATGCAATTCCATAATAACTTCTGACAAAATGAAATCAAGAGTGCCTAGAGTTTAGTCTGCTCTTGCTAACTCCTATTTTTCAGGCCTATGCTGAAAGAGAAAACATCTAAAAAAAAAACAACCCAAAAACAAAACAAAAAACCGAGCCCTAAATGTTGCCAGGGTATCAAATTATCTTTTCAGTCAAATTTAGTGAGAAGCAAAAGCTCAGAATCTTTCTTAAATCAGTTCAGTCTAAGTCAACAAAATATCAAATTGCCAAGGGTTCTGTGACAGCTCTAGAAGGGGGATGGTAGGTGAGGCGCAGGGAAAACAAGTATGTCCCAAGATACTTTCTGCCTGAAGTGAACACAAAATGAGTCAGTTCTCTAAATATAAAGAATTATAGTTATATACATGGTGTCTAACTCTGTTTCCTTGTATTTGTGGGGCAGGATGCTATAATAGACCATGATAGAAGAACAAAAGAATGGGCTATGTATAGTGTCATCTTATTTTGCCTTTTGTAACTAACCCCTTTTTAATTTTTATTGTGAAAATACTGCACAGAAGGGTTACAGTTACATGGGAGAGATAATGAGTACATCTCTTATCGAGCATTGTAGCCTTCTCCTTTGTTTCCCCTTCCCATCCCTTCCCATCCTCCCCCCGCCCTCCCACCCACCCCCCTCGCACCAAAGTTGTAAATTTCATTTTTCGACATAATGACATGTACATCTCATTGTTGCAATGG